TGAATCAACAGCAGTAGGTGGTGGATGTGCGTAAAAATAGTATAAAAATGTTACTTTTGATCAGAATTGTACAATAAAGGTATAAATCTTGGTCAAGAAGTCATGGATCAAGTTTGGTAGTCCCTGGTAATTGGAAAATAAACAATTGCAACTGTGCATTTGTTTCTATTAATTTAAATGATGTTTCCTTGTGATGAGAAATAAAAATTGGAGTCAGCAACAAGAAAAAAAAATTGGCATAGTGTGCTTACAAAAATAATGTGTGTAAGATGGGGAGAGGTTTACACGGTTGGCAAAAAAAAAAAAAAAAGGGAGTCTTGGTATGAGGCTGTAGAATAAACATTGGACTGTTAACTATGAGGTCAGTGGTTCAAACCCACCAGCTGCTTCTCAGAAACCCTGTACTGGGTTACTTCTTGGAAACTCTTGAGTTGGAATCAACTTGACAGCACTTAACAACAACAATCCATAATGAGAAGCCCTGGTGGAACAATGGCTTAAGCATTACCTGCTAACAGAAAGTGTGAACTCCCTCCATGCCCCGCAGCTGCTCCTCAAGAGAAAGATGCTGATGTATGAGATTTATAACCTTGGAAACCCTTATGGGGTAGTTTATGCTACTTTGTCCTACAGTGTTGCTAGGAGTGGGAGTCAACTAGAAGGCAGCCAGTTTTGTTTTGTTTTGTTTTGTTTTAGGAAAATGGAAGGTCTAATCCATCATTATTAAAAAAAATTTTTTTTTAAAGTTTTTAATGTGAATTGAGCTATAGTTTACATGGGAGAACATCAGTTTTACACTCATCCTATTGTATTTTGTGTCAGTATTTGCTTCCATTCCCTCAGTTTTCTGTTTTTATTTTTTGGGGGAGGGGGACTTACACAAAAACACTCAGGAATATATAATCATTTAAACAATTAAAGGGCACATTCTGCAAGACTGCCTCCTGGCTGCGAGCACACAGCCTTTCTCTTTCCATGAATCTGGAGTCCTCTGCTGTTCTAGCTCTCTATGTCATCATCTCTGCCAAAATAAATTCTTAATAAGGAAAAGTTTTCCTTCCTTCTTGGTTTTCATCTGCTTGAGGCTCTTACTGTGTCTTGGCTATATTTGGTCTTGAAATGGGGTATTTATCAGACACTCCTGAGTCTAAATTATAGTCACCTATCCAGATCAGCGCTGTGGATTAATGTGCCAGACAGCAAAGCTGTCTGAA